AAAAAAAAAAAAAAAAAAAAACTGGCTTCAGACAAAAACTAACCCTAAAGTACAAAACTGTTACTTTAACCTATGTTTTACAAGTGTGGGAAGACAGTAAGCCAGGCTGACGAAGTTCTTTCATCACATAAATGTAAATGGTCCTAGGGAGGGCTAACCTCCAGTTCTATCAGGAAAACGGTAATTTTAACAGTGCCTTACCTTGATCGACTCCTGTCCTTATTCCGATCTGAGCTCCTTTCCCGATCGCGGTCACGCTCTCTCTCTCGATCCCGATCGCGATCTCTCTCTTTTGTCCGGTCTCGATCCCTATCTCGTTCTCGTTCCCGCTCCCGTTCCTTCTCCTTTTCTCGTTCACGTTCTCTTTCCCTTTCTCGTTCCCGTTCTCGCCTTTCTCGTTCCCTTTCACGCTCCCTCTCTCTTTCTCTCCGTTCTTTCTCAATTTCCTGTCTTTCTTTTTCTTTTTTGCCTTTCTCTTCTTCCAGTTTCTAGAAACCAATAAAAGTACTTTTAGAGTTAACTCTGTAGCTCCAGTATTTAGGGTTTTCCCGGCGCAATGCCCAATACTGGGAACAAAAAAAACCAAACCACTGGTACTTTAAGTATTAAATACTGGTGGTTTACAGGACAAATTAAACTGCAGCAATCACAAGACTAGATGGATTTCATTTCGTGCAAAACCATATACTCTACACAGACCACGCATCTCCCATCTTGGATGCTAGGAGATTATGTCAAGGGTGGTTTATCATCCAATGATTACATAATAACTAGTGAAGGTTGGTAATAATAATTTCTAAAAGTTCAATCACTTGATTAAAATGTAATTCTTCCCGTTATGAATTTCTTTGCTATCAGTGGCACTACTGATACTAATTATAACCCCACACTTCCCATCACCTAAAGGTTACTAGTTGAGGGTTTTAAAGAGGAGGTGGGACAGGAGAGACAGTTCACTGTAATACAAACTAAACAATCTTCCTCTGGTTTGTCCACCCTCCAAAAGACAAACTGAGTTCAGCCAAGATCTGCTCTATTACCTACAGAACCATTTACCCTACCATTACAAGATGGACAGCCCACCAAATACAGAAAGTTTGAAAAATCACTCATTCCAAGCAAAAATACACATATTCATAATATTTTCATAAAACTTAATTTTAAAAGCAACATACTTTTATACCCATTATGCCTCTAAAACAATAAAAATTTATCAACAGTAATAAATCCATCCTTGGAAGGAACGATCGTGTATTAACTTACAGGTGCTGTGTTAGGACACGGATCGCCAACACTGGATTAACCTTGCCTATAAGCTATGTTTCTGGGAGGAAGAGCAAGTACATGGTTCACAAATAAACCAAATAACAAAATGAGACCAAGTTTGTACCCTGACAAGATTACCAGTACATCACACGGTCTCTATACAAACTCAGAAAAAAAATACCCCAAACAGGAAAAACAAAACAAAACAAAACAAAAAACAAAACACATTTATCCCTTCAGGTCCATGTTTAGTTGTCATGGAAATGAAATTTAAACTGCAACAATAAAATGTGCAATTTTTTTTTCTTTTCTCAGTCACGTAAAGCATTTAAAACAACTTTAAAAAGGCAGTCTTACCTGTTATACTCTTTTTCTCCTGCTCATGGATCAGAGAACTGATAGAGGATTATGAAAGCAAAGCTAATGCATGAGGAATCAATATATTCAGCTGCTGTGCCAGTCTGTATCAAAGTAGAGTGCAGGCAAAGCCGATACTGAATACATTGAAATTACAAAGGGAAGAGAAAAGAAATGATAGAAAGAGGACAGAACTGAAAGCTACGTAAAGGGGCAAATTCTAATTTCTGAAACAGTTCTAATGGAATTTAAGTTTATTTTGGAAAATGAGGGTAGACTACATAAAACTTACCTCAGTGTCATACACTTTTAAAGAAATTTATTTATTTCTGATAATAGATACTTACAGATTATTTTAGGTGTTCCAATAATAATTTCTGTTGTAGAATTCCTTAATTTTTCTGCTCTTGCTTATTCACTGTACTACTTATTTCTTAGGTGTATAGCTCCATTTAAGTAATAGTTTGTTTCAGAACTCATTTCAAAAGTTTTGTGCAAGTAAATGAAAAAGTGAGTGAATGTGGTCCATACTAAATGTATTTCTTCAAGATGATATAGGCAGCAATAGATACACACATACACACATATATATTTTAAGACAAAGACTGAAGAAAAAGGAAATGAAGTGAGTCTAAAAAGACATAGGAAAGTAGTGAAATAATGGAGAGGAAAGGACAGAAAAAAAATTAAAATCTTACCTTATTCTCTCTTCAGACTCGTCCGTGCTGTAAATGGACGCCCCCTGCGACGCTGATACCCTGACAGTCTGTGGTTATTTAATAAACTCATACCAAAACATGCAAAGGTTCACTGAGCTCATTTTTTATACTAGAGTTTCAAACATCCCCTTTAACCATACCACCCAATAAAAATAACTTTAATTTTTTTTTTAAAGCACATTTTGGAAATTCAAACATTCCCCCAACAATGAAATAAGTCTAAGAGTGTCAAATGTCTGACAACTTCTCAAACTCTGAAGCAAGTATATTTTGAATTTTTTAAAAGCACAATTTCCTCATATTTTAACAATGACATGACAGGGTTTAACAAATAACCACGGGGTAAACCACACACACAACTGTATACCATTTTCAAGCTTACTCAGACCCTGAATTTGAGTATTGAACCTAACCAAAAGTATTTCTCTAAATGACTTCCCACAGACTACCTTTTTAACTCTCAAAATTAATTTGGGAGAACTACATTTGTGCTTTTAGACATACTTAATTCCTGAAAAAGCACTGTGTATGTGAGCTAGGGCTGGGCATCTGGATAACTGTTCAAAAGCAGTTCAATGGCATTAACTGTCAACTTGGGATTTTGAAAGCAGTAAGAATAAAAAGAAAAGAAAAAAACCAAACACTTAACATTTCACTGAGTTAAAAGTCACTCAGTCTTATGAGTAACAACCAGTAACATCTTTATTATTTCTAACATCAAAATACATTTCATGCAGTGTTTGCATTTCACTGTCCATTAGCATCACCTTCAACACCAGCAAACATTCACAGATGCACTGTCACTGAGAGAAGCTTTCAATAGGCAAAACTCGTGAGTGGGATTTACTATGCACAAATACCCATAATCCAAGCCAGTTACCCCTTTGCATATTTTTCTGAGGGGGCATCCATAAATATAGTAAAAAACAGAAGCTCATACTTACATCCTATTCCTTGTTACTTTCCAAGCTGAGAGTTTCATCTTGCATTAGTCACCATATGATCTCTATCATAATGGTGGGGGTCAATGAATAGATTAGCTTTATGGGAATTTACAGTTCTTCCATGCATCTAAAATTTGGTAAGTCTGGTAACCACTGGCCTACTTTTTAAAATCTCCCCCTCTCAACTTAAATCTATACAAATATAAATCTTAAATTTTAATCTCAGCTTTAAAGAAAAGATTTTCCTAAGATTAAGTTAAATAACTGCCCCAGAAATACACTGCAGTGTATGTTATCCTGCTGCCCCCTTGAATCTAAAGTCTAATTTAATTCTGACGTTGATGTCTATCTCAAAAGCTAAAAATAAAATTAGCTTTTATTCATGTTAAAGTGAGATGACTGCAGAGTAGTCAGTAACTGAAAAAACTAAGTACAACATGTCAAGGACCACTTTAATATGGTATTGATCTTGTTTCCTGGTTTCTATCTAATTAGTAATTAAACCTATAAAAAGCATTTAAACTCACATTCTAATGTAAGGTTGATTTTTTTTTTTTGTCTGTTTGCTTTGGATTCTGTAAAAAGTCTAGATTGGTATCAAGTGAACAAGTAAGAATACTACCTTGTGTGTGTCTCTGAATTTGCTGATCTCTCGGGATATCAGGTCTCTTTTGTCCTCTTCCATTTCTATAGCATTTATATCCTCCTAGAAGACAAAGGGGACAGAGAGCAATGAATGCATAAAGATTCATCTACATCAATAAAAAGAGATGAAAATTAAAGGTTAGATATTCTATGCAGGTCTTAAAAGACAGGAATAAATAAATATATATAACTTACATAGTAAATCTAGTGTTCCAAATTACATAGTGAAAAATCTGATGGACAAATATCACAAACCTGGCAATTAGTTAGTAAACACGATTATTGTTAAAGCTTACAATGTGAACGAACCTTAGTGATGAGTGGGTAAGGGATCAGTGGGGCCACTGGAAATCTGCGAAATATCTGCGAAAAAATCAACAAAGATTTTTAAAAAAGAAACCAACTAACAAAGAGCTTAAGCTTACATTACTCTGCAAACCAATGCTCTCCATATATCTACTATAAGCAGTGCAAATTTCTGTGATAATTTCCTGATTTCAAATTACGTGATAAAAAAGATTTTACTCTCTTTCTATAACCCTTCACTATCACCCACAAACCCCAAATCCCCCAACCAATGCAATAACAAGGGTCTCATATCCACAAGGTTTCCTTGATTCCCTCTAAGATGCAGGAAAAAAATCACACCAACAAAATTTACTCATTTCTGCCACAGAGAAGCATTTCTTTGATCCTTTTCTCCTAATCCATATCAAAACAAGTAAGCCTACTTACTTTCTTCATTCCTATTAATGGAGGAAGAGGAACAAATTCTATAGGTCTCAATTACCCTACACCTGACAGATTCCACCAATTACAATTTCCAGTGATTGGCATTTCACTAGACAGGTTTCTAATGACCACATGAGGAAGAACTAGCCAAGTAATAAAAATGTATTTGGCCACAAAGAATATTGAAAATAGCTTAATAAGGCAATGACTTCCAAAATAATATGAACTCTAACTACCATTTGCTATTAAGCCACTATATATATTTTGTGGTACTTTTTCATGGCAAATATATTCCACGCAAATAAAATACTTCAACATTTTTAAAGAGTGCTCCCTATAATTTCTCTAAGTTTAAACAAAAGAAATAAGTATAAAACCAAACATTTTCTTTCAACCTGGACTCTCTACTGTTCAGTTAGCTTATGACAAAGAATGATGATGACATTATACACTGGGAAGGAGTGTTTCATCTTGTGCTGCTCTTTTCATCATCTTCCAGTTAGTTCAACAACATTACTGTCCATGACGGGGAAATGCGCCATGGATATAAGGAAAAGCAGCTACAAATTAAGGAATGGGAGAAAATCCTCAGTGAATGAGAGACCTGGTATCCTGCTTGGAGCAGAGACAGAAAAACAACAAACACAGAGTAAGGTAAAACAAAGCCAGCCCCTGGCCAAAAACAGCCAAAACCAAAACCAAAAACACTTACTTTGCCCCTTAATATCAGTTCCTACTCATCACTTAAATTTTTCTTATTTAATTTGAATCGACAGAAAAGCTCAAGTTTCCATGCCAATGCATTTCAAATACACAAAGCAGAAATGCTTTGGTAAAAAAACCAGGAAGTTAGTAAAACAGTCAAACTGGACAATATATTTTCATAACTGCTTATCAACCTATTGTCCCCTCAACAGTTAAAACATAATGAAAGCAGGAAATGAAATTTAAACTGCAACAATAAAATGTGCAATTTTTTTTTCTTTTCTCAGTCACGTAAAGCATTTAAAACAACTTTAAAAAGGCAGTCTTACCTGTTATACTCTTTTTCTCCTGCTCATGGATCAGAGAACTGATAGAGGATTATGAAAGCAAAGCTAATGCATGAGGAATCAATATATTCAGCTGCTGTGCCAGTCTGTATCAAAGTAGAGTGCAGGCAAAGCCGATACTGAATACATTGAAATTACAAAGGGAAGAGAAAAGAAATGATAGAAAGAGGACAGAACTGAAAGCTACGTAAAGGGGCAAATTCTAATTTCTGAAACAGTTCTAATGGAATTTAAGTTTATTTTGGAAAATGAGGGTAGACTACATAAAACTTACCTCAGTGTCATACACTTTTAAAGAAATTTATTTATTTCTGATAATAGATACTTACAGATTATTTTAGGTGTTCCAATAATAATTTCTGTTGTAGAATTCCTTAATTTTTCTGCTCTTGCTTATTCACTGTACTACTTATTTCTTAGGTGTATAGCTCCATTTAAGTAATAGTTTGTTTCAGAACTCATTTCAAAAGTTTTGTGCAAGTAAATGAAAAAGTGAGTGAATGTGGTCCATACTAAATGTATTTCTTCAAGATGATATAGGCAGCAATAGATACACACATACACACATATATATTTTAAGACAAAGACTGAAGAAAAAGGAAATGAAGTGAGTCTAAAAAGACATAGGAAAGTAGTGAAATAATGGAGAGGAAAGGACAGAAAAAAAATTAAAATCTTACCTTATTCTCTCTTCAGACTCGTCCGTGCTGTAAATGGACGCCCCCTGCGACGCTGATACCCTGACAGTCTGTGGTTATTTAATAAACTCATACCAAAACATGCAAAGGTTCACTGAGCTCATTTTTTATACTAGAGTTTCAAACATCCCCTTTAACCATACCACCCAATAAAAATAACTTTAATTTTTTTTTTAAAGCACATTTTGGAAATTCAAACATTCCCCCAACAATGAAATAAGTCTAAGAGTGTCAAATGTCTGACAACTTCTCAAACTCTGAAGCAAGTATATTTTGAATTTTTTAAAAGCACAATTTCCTCATATTTTAACAATGACATGACAGGGTTTAACAAATAACCACGGGGTAAACCACACACACAACTGTATACCATTTTCAAGCTTACTCAGACCCTGAATTTGAGTATTGAACCTAACCAAAAGTATTTCTCTAAATGACTTCCCACAGACTACCTTTTTAACTCTCAAAATTAATTTGGGAGAACTACATTTGTGCTTTTAGACATACTTAATTCCTGAAAAAGCACTGTGTATGTGAGCTAGGGCTGGGCATCTGGATAACTGTTCAAAAGCAGTTCAATGGCATTAACTGTCAACTTGGGATTTTGAAAGCAGTAAGAATAAAAAGAAAAGAAAAAAACCAAACACTTAACATTTCACTGAGTTAAAAGTCACTCAGTCTTATGAGTAACAACCAGTAACATCTTTATTATTTCTAACATCAAAATACATTTCATGCAGTGTTTGCATTTCACTGTCCATTAGCATCACCTTCAACACCAGCAAACATTCACAGATGCACTGTCACTGAGAGAAGCTTTCAATAGGCAAAACTCGTGAGTGGGATTTACTATGCACAAATACCCATAATCCAAGCCAGTTACCCCTTTGCATATTTTTCTGAGGGGGCATCCATAAATATAGTAAAAAACAGAAGCTCATACTTACATCCTATTCCTTGTTACTTTCCAAGCTGAGAGTTTCATCTTGCATTAGTCACCATATGATCTCTATCATAATGGTGGGGGTCAATGAATAGATTAGCTTTATGGGAATTTACAGTTCTTCCATGCATCTAAAATTTGGTAAGTCTGGTAACCACTGGCCTACTTTTTAAAATCTCCCCCTCTCAACTTAAATCTATACAAATATAAATCTTAAATTTTAATCTCAGCTTTAAAGAAAAGATTTTCCTAAGATTAAGTTAAATAACTGCCCCAGAAATACACTGCAGTGTATGTTATCCTGCTGCCCCCTTGAATCTAAAGTCTAATTTAATTCTGACGTTGATGTCTATCTCAAAAGCTAAAAATAAAATTAGCTTTTATTCATGTTAAAGTGAGATGACTGCAGAGTAGTCAGTAACTGAAAAAACTAAGTACAACATGTCAAGGACCACTTTAATATGGTATTGATCTTGTTTCCTGGTTTCTATCTAATTAGTAATTAAACCTATAAAAAGCATTTAAACTCACATTCTAATGTAAGGTTGATTTTTTTTTTTTGTCTGTTTGCTTTGGATTCTGTAAAAAGTCTAGATTGGTATCAAGTGAACAAGTAAGAATACTACCTTGTGTGTGTCTCTGAATTTGCTGATCTCTCGGGATATCAGGTCTCTTTTGTCCTCTTCCATTTCTATAGCATTTATATCCTCCTAGAAGACAAAGGGGACAGAGAGCAATGAATGCATAAAGATTCATCTACATCAATAAAAAGAGATGAAAATTAAAGGTTAGATATTCTATGCAGGTCTTAAAAGACAGGAATAAATAAATATATATAACTTACATAGTAAATCTAGTGTTCCAAATTACATAGTGAAAAATCTGATGGACAAATATCACAAACCTGGCAATTAGTTAGTAAACACGATTATTGTTAAAGCTTACAATGTGAACGAACCTTAGTGATGAGTGGGTAAGGGATCAGTGGGGCCACTGGAAATCTGCGAAATATCTGCGAAAAAATCAACAAAGATTTTTAAAAAAGAAACCAACTAACAAAGAGCTTAAGCTTACATTACTCTGCAAACCAATGCTCTCCATATATCTACTATAAGCAGTGCAAATTTCTGTGATAATTTCCTGATTTCAAATTACGTGATAAAAAAGATTTTACTCTCTTTCTATAACCCTTCACTATCACCCACAAACCCCAAATCCCCCAACCAATGCAATAACAAGGGTCTCATATCCACAAGGTTTCCTTGATTCCCTCTAAGATGCAGGAAAAAAATCACACCAACAAAATTTACTCATTTCTGCCACAGAGAAGCATTTCTTTGATCCTTTTCTCCTAATCCATATCAAAACAAGTAAGCCTACTTACTTTCTTCATTCCTATTAATGGAGGAAGAGGAACAAATTCTATAGGTCTCAATTACCCTACACCTGACAGATTCCACCAATTACAATTTCCAGTGATTGGCATTTCACTAGACAGGTTTCTAATGACCACATGAGGAAGAACTAGCCAAGTAATAAAAATGTATTTGGCCACAAAGAATATTGAAAATAGCTTAATAAGGCAATGACTTCCAAAATAATATGAACTCTAACTACCATTTGCTATTAAGCCACTATATATATTTTGTGGTACTTTTTCATGGCAAATATATTCCACGCAAATAAAATACTTCAACATTTTTAAAGAGTGCTCCCTATAATTTCTCTAAGTTTAAACAAAAGAAATAAGTATAAAACCAAACATTTTCTTTCAACCTGGACTCTCTACTGTTCAGTTAGCTTATGACAAAGAATGATGATGACATTATACACTGGGAAGGAGTGTTTCATCTTGTGCTGCTCTTTTCATCATCTTCCAGTTAGTTCAACAACATTACTGTCCATGACGGGGAAATGCGCCATGGATATAAGGAAAAGCAGCTACAAATTAAGGAATGGGAGAAAATCCTCAGTGAATGAGAGACCTGGTATCCTGCTTGGAGCAGAGACAGAAAAACAACAAACACAGAGTAAGGTAAAACAAAGCCAGCCCCTGGCCAAAAACAGCCAAAACCAAAACCAAAAACACTTACTTTGCCCCTTAATATCAGTTCCTACTCATCACTTAAATTTTTCTTATTTAATTTGAATCGACAGAAAAGCTCAAGTTTCCATGCCAATGCATTTCAAATACACAAAGCAGAAATGCTTTGGTAAAAAAACCAGGAAGTTAGTAAAACAGTCAAACTGGACAATATATTTTCATAACTGCTTATCAACCTATTGTCCCCTCAACAGTTAAAACATAATGAAAGCACAAGAGACAATAAAAAGTAAATTGTAGAAATGACTCTGTTGTCAGAAATCAGTAATACACATACGTCCTCCTTCTTTTCCTTCTTCTTCTTCCTAGGGTGAGAGTCAGATTCTTGTGAGGGGGCATTGAGCTCACTGGAGTATTCCCGTATTAAAACTTCAATGGCCCCTTTGATCATCTGATCTCTTCTCTTTGTTTCTTCATCTAAGGCTTCCTCGTCATCATTAGTGACAGTTTCTGGCCTGGCATTCTTAAAAAAAGAAAAAGGGCAAATTCAGGGAGGGAGGGAGAAAAATCAGTCTAAAGCCAAGACTTAGTACACAAATATATTTTCGTCAAAACATCTCAACAATCCTATTAAGTGCAGATGTGGGTTTGTCCTTAACCTCACAAAACTTAACTTAAATTCTTTTATTTTTTTATTCCTTAGATACTACCTCATCATTTTCCTTTTCTTTTTTTCCATTGATAGCTAATATTCTGATCTCTAAAATATAGCAATTGAAAGATTAAATCACAGGACTAGCAAACTACACAATTGGAAAGCTTTCACAATTTTTCAGATGGTCTTGCTAAGACTGGCAAAAACTAAAAATGCTTACTAAACAACTAACTCAATCAACAGTTCTAAGTTTAATTTTGTGGGAAGAAAAGAAAAATGCGATTTCTGTGAAAAAAAATGTGCACTATGATATCTACCATTTAAAATAAACAAAAGCTTCTTTAAGTTAAGGGGGTGAAAATTACCAGAGAGCCATAAACAACAAAATGCAAGCATCACATAGGTCAGGGACTGAAAAGATGGCTTTTTCCCCATCCCCATTCCCACCCCAAGCTATCTACAATTCTATAAAGTGGAAATATACAAAAGGATGTACTTAATACACTAAGAAAGAATCCACTCTAAATACAAGTCTTTCTCCCCATGACTTACATGTATAACATTATAAAAGATAATAACACAAAATTCATGTTGTAATGTTTCTTACAAGTAAGAATTAACAGAACATTATTAGTTTTTAGAAGAAATCAAGATTAATTTTGTTCCTGTGTAAAAATCACTCGCTTCTAGGAAGAATAAACCTGGGGGATTATGCTCCCCAACTTCAAGCTCTACAACAAAGCCACAGTAATCAAGATAATTTGGTACTGGCACAAGAACAGCATAGACCAATGAAACAGACTAGGGAGCCCTAATATAAACCCAACCATATATGGTCAATTAATATATGATAAAGGAGCCATGCACATACAATAGGGAAATGACAGTCTCTTCAACAGCTGGTCTTGGCAAAACTGGACAGCTACATGCAA